GGTGTGCCTCCTCAGTAGGACCCCCAGGATCAGCGTTGGGTTTCGCACTCCACTTCTTCGGAGTTGCTGACTTTGAGTCCATAGGTACTATTACAGATGTATATGTGTGGTTTTGGGCATGTCGGGGGCTTTGTCCCGCCCTGTTGAGATTGTCTTACACTCTTAGAGGGTTGCAGACTAGCGGTCATTGTATATATATATTTTTCGTATGGCCCTATCGGCCTCCTGGATAGCTGTTATAATGTGGTTGCAGCCTTGTTGGTCTAGGTTATATATATATGTCGTGTTGGGCTCTTCTGCCTGTAGGTTATTATATTTCAGATCATATCTCATGGTTGGTTCGCTCGGGCCTTCGGGCATAGGGTGCCAGCCACACCTCCCAAGGTTGGGGTGTGACATTAGTCTTCTTAAAAAGAATTGAGGTGAACTTTATCAGATAACACAAATGACTTATGGCCCTCCAAAATTTAGTTCGAGCTCCCTTAAAAATAAATCGAGGTGTGTCATGCTGAACATAACCTCAAATTGCATGGCCTCGCTTAATTAATCTCGTTCATCCTTAGAATTCGAGGCTTGCCACTTAGTTGAATTTCCATGGCCCTCGCAAAATTACAAACGTGTAGTTGCTTTAGGCACGTCGTTTTAATAATTTACCTTCGTAAACTCGGGTGCGCATTTATGTGACCCAAATCCAAATCTCAACGTTAGATAAAATGTGTTGCGGACTGTGGGTGCATTTATGTGACGTGTTTCGAGACATATTTTAAATGACGTTGCAATCTTCCTTTAGAAATGAATAGAAGCGGTTAAAAAACTAAAATTTCACATAGGATTAAACATGTTTAAAATCAAATAATTAGGCCAATAATAATAATTGAGCGACCGTGCTAGAACCACGGAACTCGGGAATGCCAAACACCTTCTCCTTGGTTAACAGAATTCCTTACCTAGATTTCTGGTTTGCGGACTGTTAAACAGAGTCAAATTTCCTCGATTCGGGATTTAAACCGGTGACTTGGGACACCAAAATCTCCCAAGTGGCGACTTTGATTCTTAAAATAAAAAAATTCCGTTTCGATTGTCCTTTAATTGGAAAAACTCTCTTATACACCCCTTTACTCGGGTGTAGGTAAAAAGGAGGTGTGACAGCTCTGGCGACTCTGCTGGGGATCGAACCCAGAATCTCTGGTTTAGGTTCAGAATTCGAGCTTAGATGAATTGTTGTATTTGGTTTTATCTATTATCTGATTTTATTACATGTTTGGGCCTAATGTTGCTTTTACCGCTTTGATATTATCTGAACTGTATATAAACTGCTACGAAACCCTTCTCTTCTCATCTTCGGGGATGTGCTCACTGGTTGAGACTCCCTATTCTGTTAGTGTCACACCTTGAAATAAGAAAGAGGCTCGGACAAGTTACTAAGCCGGATGACCTTTTGGTTCCCGGTATATAGCCCCCTTCTCGGCTCGAGTTGTCTGCTCGGGTACACAAGTCTAGAACAAATACCCAGGTTTTAAACCTAGAATAACTCAGCCTCATGCCGGATCCCTAGTAGGAACATTTGTTTGCATCATGTGTATTTGACTTCGGAGACTCAACACAGGGGTTGGGTCTGTCTAGGACAGGTGTACCAGTAATATAAAGACCATTATGATGCATCTTACTTGCTACTTGTGCATTCATTTGCTTCGAATTTGCATGTTGACCGACTTATAGGGAAAATTTTGAAAAGTTAATGAGGAGGCTGAGAGGGATAAGTACCTGTTTTGAAAAAACAATGTCCCAAAACATACTGAAACTTTGCCGAAACTTTGGGAAAAAAAAAAGAAATTTTGTGGCTTTGAAAGAAAAGAGAAAAAAAATATTTGTGTTTTTAGGAAAAAAAGAAGTTGGTTTATTTTTGTCAAAATTACCCGAACTACGCCAGTTTGATTCTCACAGGGTGTGAGATACGTAGGCAACCCTTATCGGGTCCAACTCCATTTTTGCAAACATAGTCCAAAAAATAAAAAATTTATTATAATGGTTAAAGTGATGCCATTTTTGTCAAAACTAGCCGATTGTCCCCAAAAGGACATCGGAAGGCTGTTTTTCGGTCTCTTTTTCAAATTTTTAGCCAGTTAGCGAGCACAGCCTTAAAATCTATCCCAAGTGCTGAAAGGCCGCATTTGCAAAATCGGGTTTTACTTTTGAAATGAAAATCTGAAAAAGTGTCAGCTTTGTTTTTGAGTCAATTGAATCATGATTTTTGCTTAATCACCCTAATAAATGTGCAGAATGAGCACAAGTCAGAATTTGCCAATAACAATTGTGAACAATATCCCTTTGGAGTTGCATATGTGGTGGGATGATCTGGGTAAATCGGGACAAGACACGGTCAATCTATACCTAGGAGGCCTCACTAGGTTGCTGAAGATTAATCCCAGGGGAGACATCATAAAGGCGTTGGTTACATTCTGGGACCCGACCCACAAAGTATTTCATTTCTCAGATTTTGAACTTACCCCAACATTGGAAGAAATAACCGGATATATTGGGGGTCCCAAAGTTCCTCTGAGACACCAGTACCTGATTGCTCCAAGGGCCGTAGCCGTACACAGGTTCCTAGATTCTTTGAAAATAAGCAGGGGGGTCCACAACCCAGACTTGGCAGCCGGTTTTTGTACTTTGCAATTTTAATACAACAGATATGGTCATATAGGGGGGTTCAACAAGCCGGAAAACAAGATCTGTAGCAAAGGAAACCGCCTTAAGTGGGAAGAACACAGGTGTTTTGCTTTTATGGTGATCTTTTTGGGACTCTTGGTGTTTCCTAGAAAAGATAGGAATATTGACATACGAGTAGCTGGGGTTGTCAGCACTTTGCTTACTCAGGCCAATAGCACTCTCACACTCATGATAGTAGCTGAAATCTTCCGCGCTCTCATAGCCTGCAAAGCTGGAGGAGACTTTTTTGAGGGGTGCAACGTGTTGCTGCAAATGTGGATGATCGAACACCTATGCCATCATCCTCAATTTATGAGTTATGGGTCGACAAAGAAAACATGCATAGAAGAATTTTATATGAGGGTTGATGGGATCAGCTTGCCAGAAGGGGTTACAGAGTTGGTAACACGCCTCCGTTCCATCACTGCAAACCAAATAGAGTGGACATTTGGATTGCTGCTTGTGGATGAGATCATATACATGCCAGCCATCGAGCCCCATTTCCTCTTGATGGGACTCAGAAGTATCGAGCCTTATGCCCCATATCGGGTTTTGAGGCAGCTGGGGAGATGCCAAATAGTTACGAGAGATGAAGATCTTAGCGCCCAAGTAGTCGAGATCGGTCACAACGGCCAGTTTCATGAAGCAGCAGTCCGCCAAATTTGGAGCGAATGTCAATACTTAAAAGCAAATACTTGTGTATGTGATCGATCCAAAGGTGAGGTTTCACCAGGGTACCTGGCTTGGTATAGAAGAGAAATTGAGTTTAGGAGGCCGCCAAAAGACCCCACCTT